AGTGCTGAATGGACCATTCACGACACCCCCACCCGCCCCCACATCCACCCACCCCCCCCCACACCCACACCCACACCACCCACACCCACACCACCCACACCCACACCACCCACACCCACACCCACACCCACACCCACGCCCTGGTATGAGTTAGAGACATCTCTAAGACACAACTTTTACTTCTTCTTATATTTTATTCTTAATTATTAATTAAGTAAGAAATATTTATAAATGAATATATTTAAATATAATGTAGATGTTTTGAAATACTCATGCTGAAGTTTATGATTGGCTTCAAACCTTTACCAATCATCTTTAGTATGTTTTACCCTTTCGGATAGTCTTTTTAAAAATTTATTATTTTTTCTAATTCCGAGGAATTTATACCAAGTTTTACTATCTTTAGCAATATTAAACGCAGTCCATGTATGCTGGTATTGAGTAGCTTCAAGGGATCGATCTAAATGAATCGAGAAACGTGACCAATATTTGTATACATAATCATATAATGTTTTTTCTCTACTAATTATTTGAGTAGTCAAATTATCCCACCATAACAGTTCGTAAACGATTTTTATTGCATATGTGAAAGTTTCACTTATATTTTGTTGTTGTCTGTCAGTAAAGAAAAACCAGGTTGGGAATAGCCATATGAAGTGAGGGAGTGAAAAGCAAAAAAAGTTTTTCTTCGAGTAGTTAGTTCTTTCTTTGGAATCGTTTTGAATAGTACTTTCATAGCTTTATATGTTGTTCTTATCTTTTTTAGTTTTTCTTCTATATATTTTCCCCAGCCTAGTTTTGAGGTTATTCTCACGCCTAAATATTCGAATTCTTTTACATAAGCTATTTTTTTATTTTTATATTTTATGTTAGGATAACTCGGTGACACGATATTATGTACAAGTAGTGCCTTTGTTTTTTCGACATTAACAGGTAGGAGTATATCGTCTGCATATTGTTCAAGATTTTTCAATGTATTGTTTGCTCTTTCTTCTAGTTCACTTATGTTAACAGAGAATTTCTTCTCTAGTGATCCTGAAAAAAGTAATGCTAGATCATCTGCAAAGAGATGTGCTGCTTCTTGTTGAAATATTGATGGTAAGAAGTGTATATGAAGTCTAAATAGTGTTGCAGCAAGAATTGAACTTTGCGGAGCTCCTAGTTCCATTTTTATTATCCTTGAAAAAACGTCTCCGTAGTGGATAGATATTGTGCGATTATTTAACCATGATGTTATCCATTTTATATATGGTAGAGGCATATCCAGTTTTTCTAGTGAGTATATGAGGGCTGGAAACCACATTCTATCAAATGCAGACATGAAATCCACAAAGATTGCTAGATCTGGACGATTACATGCTGTTACTGTCAATCTCATATCCTGTATTAGTGAAATTATTCTGGTTTGGAGTCTTCTATGAGCTGTAAATCCCGATTGTTCATTAACAACTATATTTTTTGCTTCGCACCAATTTAGTAATCTTTTGTGTATAATTCTTTCATACCATTTACCTAAGGTGGGGAGAAGTGATATAGGCCTTAATTTATTTTCGGTAGGATATAATCCATCTTTGGATATACATATTACTTTTGCATGTTTACTTTTTTCGAAGAAACTTCCATTTTTTGCACATTTATTGAATAATACTGTTATTATTCCTAAATATTCTTTAGGAAGTTGTTTTAGTATATATACAGATGTTCCTGCACTATCAGTTGATTTTTTTTTATTTGAATTTTTTCCATTCATTTTCAACTTCTGTCAAAGTAATCTGTTCTAACGGAATATTAGGCAGATATTTAATTTGTTCATAAATTTCCATCGCTTGTATATGTTTATCATTTCTGTTATTGAATTTAGGTTCTTTGAAATGATTTTCGAAATAGTTGGCTAGAATTTCTACTATTTTCCTTTCATCTTTTATCTTTTCTTTCCCTACTGTTATACCTCGAAATGGAGGTGTATATGCATGAAACTGTGGTTTTACGAAATTCCAAATATTATGTTCTTTTGTTATCCATTCTATTTTTTCTCTCTTTTATATTGTATATACTTCGTTCTTTTTTCTATATATATTTCTTTTAAATTTCTGTAGTATTGCAGCTTGAGTTCATTTTTATTTCTTCTGTATGCTCTTCTAGCTCTATTTACTGTTTTTGCTAGTAAGATCAAATCTGGAGGCCAAGGAGGACGATATTTGGCTGTATTTTCGTATTCACTACATCTATCCCAGAGTGAAGATAAAAAAGAGGAGAATAGGTTAAAGAAGGTTTGTTCATCAACGTTGTATACAACCGATAGCCAGTATTGATATACTAGTTCCAAAAAAAAATCCAAATATGTTCCAGTGAGTTTTTCTAAATAATGAGTTTTGATGTATGGCTATGTTTGATTGAAACATAACTGGGTAGTGGTCAGAAGTTCCTTCATCTAATACTTCAGATGTCCACCCGTTTGCGTTATAAGTAATTCCGAAATCTATAATTGCTTCAGATCTTTTTGAAGTAGGTTTATTAGGTATGATCATTTCATTTTCTGTTTTTTCTAACCATTCCTGCAAATGAATCCCACTTGAGTTATTTCTTATGCATCCCCAGTTTGTGTGTTTAGCATTATAATCACCAAAAATATAATATGGTTTATCCTGATACTTTGAAAATATATGAAATGGTGGAAGGGAATTTGGTGGAATATAGATAGCTCCTATATAAATTGGATTTAAGGTGGAGAGGAGTTCAATTAGTAAAAAGTTTAGTTCTCTTTCAATTATTCTACATTTTAATGAAAGTTGATGAAGTATCATTACTCCACCAAAGGCGTTTGTCCCTGGTTGCGAAATTGTGTGATATTTTGGAAAAAATATTTTCTTATGTACAGCATTTCCAACTCCCGTTAGTATACATATGTGGGGTTGATAACATGCTAACAGTATATCGACATCTTCAGCATGAGTATTCAAACTTTCTACATTATATAACAAAATAAGAAGATTTTCTTTCTCATAACATGGACGATCTTTTTTTCCATAAGCTACATAAGTCTGATATAGAAGTACGATAGTTCCATTCTTCTACTATATTTTTAATCATTTCTTTTTCTTTCTTAGGTCCTGTGAATGAATTAATTGAATTTGTATTAATAATCGGCGATGAATAATAGAATGGTTTACTATTCATTCTCTATTGTTATATAGTTTACTGCTTGGAGTAATAGCTGACCTTGTTGTTCACTAAGATTTTTCATTTGATTTTGATTCATAGTAAGAAGATTGTTATATTCATTTAAATTTTCAATTGATGTAGCAATTTGTTGTAGTAAGATTTGGATCTCATTTTGGTTGTGGTTCTTTTTTGTAGTTGATGAATCTAAATTGGATATCATTTTTTGGGCTATGTCAAAAGTGGTTGATAAAATTGGAATAAATTTATTCATAGTTGAATAACACCGTTCAATATTCTCATTGTGGTATTTTGTTTGGGCTGTTAGAACTTGTGTATTGATGTTTTCAATTTAATTATATTGTCATTATATTTTGATTGTAAGTTTTTTACTTTATTTTCGAAATTTACATTAATTTTTTCAATTTCAGACTGTGTTATTTTTAGTTCAATCCATATTGCTTCTTCGGATGATACATTTGATTTATTATTTTGTTGATTTATTGGAAGTGAAGGCCAACTGAATGATTTAATATTAAATGGTATTTGTTGATTATTATCACTTGTTCTTGGGATTGACTTGTTTTGGTTGTTCATTGTGGTATTATTAATAATTTTGTTGTTTTTTTTCCATTTTCTCTATATTCTGTTGGTATAAAAATTTGAACATTTGGAGGTAGTAAGGTTTTTGTTTTAGTTGTTGTAGAGGACAACGACGATAATCGATTATGTAATGACATTGATGGTCTGTAGCCATATGTTCCTGTTTACATCTGTGACAACATAATTTGCATTCCTTGTGATTACCCACTGATCGGTCTTCACCACATCGACGACATGCTTCATATTCTAGTTTACAGTTATTCCGAACGTGACCTGGATCATTGCATTTGGTGCATATTAGTATACGTGGAGGAGAGAGAAATTCTTTAATTTCAATTAATAATCCATCAATCGTAATACAACCTTTCTTTAGTAAACTATTATATTCGCTCGTGGTTTTGATTTCTAGACGTATATGCTTATATTTATCTGTTCTTGACCCATTCATTTCTTCTAAGTTAAAAATTAGATCTTTGTCAATACCAATTTCATTTTGAATATCATCAATTGTAATATAATTTGGTACATATTTTAATACTAAAGAATGTTGTTCAGGAAGATGTTTTGGTTTCAGAGATTCTAAAATAGTAGACTCGACTGATGTTGGATAATTATGTGTATCACTTAAATATACATAGAGTTCAATTTGTCTAGTGTGACATATCAAATCACCCTTTTTGTTAATATATCAATATTCAAAACCCAAAGGTTGATTATAATATTTATTTAATTTATAAAAATTATCTTTTATGTGTGTAATTAGTGCATTTATTATTCCTTTTGCTTTTGTATTATCTGATACTTTTGGGTTACATTTAATGTAGATTAGTGGAAGGTGTTGTTCAATTGCATAGTTTAATGCATGTTGGGAGATATTAATGTTTGTGTTATTTGTGTTATGATATTTATCATTTTTCATTTGATTAATATTATTTCGTTCTGATTCATCATCAGCTGATAAAGTTTGACATATATTTTTTTCTTCGTTTCTCTTGTCACGATGATTCTTTTCAGTTTGCTGTTCATATGAATAATCTAATGTATAATCGTTTGTTTTTCTGTTTCTGTTAAAGAATAAACGTCCGTTATTATTTGATGTTGTTCGCGGACTATTGTGGTCGATAAAGTATACATTGTCATTGTCAATACCTTTATGTAAATTTCTATTATTTAATTTTTGTTGTTTTCTTTTATTGGGATTTGTAATGACTTGAAAAGTACTATCTTGATCAACATTTAAATCATCTCCATATTGACTTGTAGAAGTGAGTTGCCTTTTGAATTGTTGTTTTGAATTATCTTTTTCATTTTCGTTTTGATTCAAAATTTCTGTTGTTTTGTTTTAGTCTATTATGTTTTGAAATTAAATCTTGTATTATAATAATATTGTTATCACATAAGCTGTCTTTTTCTTCACTTGTCATTTCATTATATTCATTTGATTTTGTATTTTCCATTTTTTATAAATAAATAATTTCTCTTTATTTGAAATTTTCACTTGACACGATTTGTATATTTGTATATTTTGTACATATACGAGAGGAAAGACAACACGTCTTACTCTCGCCGTGCGAACGGGAAAAGTGACGTAACGTTAAGTGCATTTATGGACTTTGGTAATTTTCTCAATGGCTGATTTCTGGTATCCAACCCATTGTTCTTCTTAATTTCACCCTACCTTTAGAACTTTTTCATCTCATTTTGATCGTTTTGACTTTTGCTTAAGACATAAGGGGGGAAAAGCGAGACTCCTACCCATGTAAAAAAATGACCTCAATAATCACACAAAATCTGATTTTTAATCGATTATAATCATACGATTCTTAATCAATGGTTTACACAGAAATAATCAGAAAAAAATCAGTTTTTTTTTCAGTTTGATTATAATCGGTTTGAAATTGAGTTAAAAAAATCGATTATAATCAAATTGAAAAAAAAACAGATTTTTTTCTGATTATTTCTGTGTAAACCATTGATTAAGAATCGTATGATTATAATCGATTAAAAATCAGATTTTTTGTGATTACTGAGGTCATTTTTTTTACATGGGTATTAATAAGTTTGGAGAACATACTGATTATTTGTTCTATTTTTCGAAGATACAAAGTAAAATAGACAGAAAACATATGGTTTAATTTATCATCTAACTTATCGTTTGAAATTTACTGTCCATAAGAACATGAGGATAAAAATGATTCATAATGTGTGTGCAAATAATATACGTATATTTCAGTAAATATATAACACTGTTGATACAAATGTGGTTTAATATTAACCGTTCTCTGCTTCAATAATTTATACTTCTTTTCATCTCTCGTATTAATTCAAGCTGAAAATAGTATTTTTCTTTCTCCTTCGAAAATATGCTTCTGTTATAGGTAAGTAAGTTATTATTTTCTTTTCTATTCATTCGCAACTTTCATTCCCGAATCAGCAGGATCCACTAGTTATTCAACGAAAAAAAAAAGGTTAGAAAGATTTAAATGAATCTTTTTTTTCAGAAGACTAGAGTCTTCTATTGTAAATTTCACATCGCTCCACGCGGGGGTCTTCTATTACAAGAGGATCTTATAATAGATCGAGGGTTTCAATAGAAAAAAAATCTCAAAATAGCCTGAAATCTATGAAGTAATCCTTATACTGTAATTATATATATATATTACTTTCACAGAACATTCATTAGTTATATGAGCTTCTTACAGGTAGAATAATTTTTATCGTATATCCTTCCAGGTAAGTAAATGTTTGGCTTTTTGAATTGAGTGTATCCATAGAGAGAGCTATCATTTTCCTGAAATTCGACTTACTTCACGTATAGTTTAATTGAATTATTAGAAGAATTCAATCTTG